GTCTCTTCATAATGCAAAGCCTATATAGGTTTGCCTGAGCTTCTGTTGTGAATTAAATGATCTAGACTCAGAGATACAAGCTGGGAAGTTAAGGTCAAATATATACGCACATGTTAGGAAACCTGTTATAATTACATGGTGGAAGCATACTATCTTGGGAGCCACATGTTGATTAATGTTAATTTTAGGGTAAACAGAGGGGGAGAAAGACAGGAAAAGCCAGTGGCCTCCAAGGCTAAAAATATTCTTGAGTTGAGACTCAGCATCTATGGGATACAACCTGATAATTACCTCTGGATGGTGATTACTTGTTCTTATATAATTAACCTTGGGGTTCATCTGGACTGGCAGGGTTACTGTCCTGGAGTGGACCAATCACTGTGACTCACAGACCACCAAACTAAAACTAGAAACATTTGCATTCTCAGTGATTTCCCACTGCCCATTTGGGACAGTGTATTCTCTCTTGTGTTACAGGAGAGATAGTTTATTTGAGGCCAAGTCTGTTAGGAAGGTAATCACAGTGGTGAAACTATAAATTCTTGTCAAGGGGGATGTGATTTGGAAAAGAGGCTCGAAGGAACTTGCATCTTCTTTTAATTAAAGCTGCTTGAAGAGCCTTTCCATCCTAGAGTCCTTGTCTCAGTCTGACTTGGGGAAGCCCAGAAAAGAAAATGTTAATCAGCCCTTCAGCATTCTGGTGCTGATTAGTGCAGGCTGAATCCAAAATAGACAGTGAGAGACCCAGGGCAGCAAAAGAAGGATATTAAGGCTGTGAATGTGAAGTGAAATTTAATGCTTTAAACTCAAACTGTGTTGAAATGAAATGGAAGTGCAGAGTCGGGAAGAGAAGAGATTGGTGTGCTCATTTCTGTCTGAGAAACGAGACTTGGAGAGGCTGGAATCGATGGAGCAGATACTGGTTGTTTCTTGTAAACAGCCATCCCTCCCTCCCATCCTTCTCAGCATGACTGTGCCTCCCCAGGAGAGCCTGCCTCCTCCACATTGCTGTGCACCTCTGAAGGTGACCAAAGTCATCTTCGTTCTTCTTTGTTTACTCAGGCAGGAGTGCGTGGAACAGTTTTACTCAGTGATGTGTGAAAGAATGTTTGCTGGCAAATGGGGGCACCGGGGATAGGCTTTTGATTTGCTTATAAAAAATCATCACCAACCTGGGGATGTACGTCAATGTACAACCCTTATCTACAGGACTCAATCCCCAGTACAACACACACACACACACACACACACACACACACACACACACACACACACATCTCCAGGAAGAGACCAGGACCTGCAGTTTCTTCTGGCTAAGGTGCCAGTGCCTGCCACCTTGCATCTGTGAAAGGAATTAGCATAAATACCTGCCAATCTGTTTGAGCATGGCAGAGCTCAAAGACAGAAATTTTGCCCAGTTAGGATGTCAAAGAGCCCATGAATTATATGCTTTGGAACCATCCTGCCTTGGAGCCTCTGATTATATGAATAACTCCCTTATTGTTTATGGTAGTTTCCTCAGAGTTCTTGTTACTAGCAGTTGAAAACACCCCAGCCAACAGAGTTCTTTCCTAGGCAAGTTATGTATCTTTTTTTTTTTTTTTTTTTTTTTGTGGTACTGGGAGTCAAACTCACGACCTTGCGCTTGCCAGGCAGCTGCTTATGCCACTGAGCTAAATCCCCAGCCCCAAGTTATATATCTTTTATAATAAATCCATTTGTCCATATTGGGAGCCTTGAATCCCTATGAGGGTAAGTTCTGAACCTCCTCACACTTCTTGGTAGACAACACATAAGTTAACAATAAGAACTATGATAATCACTGACATTTGTTTAGGGTATGCATTTCCCAAAGTACTTTTACACTGACCCCTTTGTAACAACTCTAAGAAGAGACAGATGAATATTATTATTCCTTTTTTCAAGATCAGAAAATTAACGCAAGAAAGTAAAATGACTTATGTGACATGTCTAGTGACATGTTGTTAGAGCCAAGATAAAAGACTGAGCCTGGTAAAGAGAAATGTTTTCACAGGAAGAAAGAGTAACAGTAAGAAAAAATAAAAAAGATGGACTTTGGAGGCCACTGGAAATGGGTTTAAATTCCCACTCTACCTCTCTTAACACTAGGATCTTAGACAAGTCACTTAACTCTCTCCAAACTTTGACCTCATCAGTAGGATGATAATGATAGGACTGTTTAATAAACAAATGAGAAAATATATTCAGCATTTGACATATCACAGACGATCTTCTCGTAAACACAGTTTACCCTTTATGAAAAAAAATTATAATAACTCTGTTCTTGCGTTTTTTTAAGGGCAATATGGGCAACCGTAAGTAAACCAAAGGCCAAAAACTAGATAGAACTGATTATTTCTAGAAATTGTTCAAATTGCAAAAAGAAAGGAAAAAGGAAAGAGAAGATTAGCAATGAAAATGGTCCTGGCCGGTTGGTAAGCCTAGTGACATAAAACAGGATGCCACGAGAGGGCTGGAAATTTATGTGGAGATGAAACTAAGGACATAAAAACAAGGAGCAGGCAGTGGTCAAGTATGGAAGAGACAGAACCGGGGGCCGTAATAGTAAGCAAGTTAAACATTACTCAGTGTCACTTTGTTCTTATTAAGACACCGGCCTTGGAATTCATAAACAAGCACCTCGCGTGTGGGAACGGCGCTGATCTTCCCCCTTGACTGGCCTCGGTCAGCCCTCCCGGTGCCATTCTCTCCGCCCCCATCCCTTCAGTGAGATGGACAGATCAGAGAGAACTTTGAAGAAAACTGAAAGAGAAGGCAAATGAAGCTGACTAGAGGTTTGGAGAGCAGGACTGAAGGAAGGGCGGTGATTTCTCCTGTACAAAGGGGCAGCCTCACTGCCCTGACACTCTCAGTGTGGCAGGGGTATTTGACAGAAGTCAAGAACTGTCTTTCTCCTTCTACGTCCTTGACAGGGGTCTGCAAATATCAGGTGCCCAGTGCCCATGTGCTGATGGCGATACCAATTTTAAATGCCTTCTGAAAATCCAGTGTGAGTATTATAAATAATTTTGTGACAGCAAGTAGTAGAGAATTTGGAATTTAAATCATAAAGTCTTCTTCTCAGAGTATTCTGTAGAAAGCCTTGCACATAAATTTTATTTTATGCTTGTGTATTTAAGCTCTTCAGTGAGAGAAATGAGAGAAAAATCAATATTTAAAAATACACAGGTAGGTAATTGGGTTTCTGGATTTATGCCCCTGCTTTGCCATTGCTAGTTCTGGAATATGGACTTTCATTAGTCTTACTGAGCCTCAATTTCCAGTTTCTTGATCTGTAAATTGGGAATAATAACAGGACGCACCCCTATAGAGTTTTAACGTAATTAGTTTATTAATACTTAACCCTGTGCTTAGAATTTCCAAATAAGTCAACAAACATTACCTATCATCATGAAGTATGCAGAGAGGATAAATTTGTTCATTTTGGGAGATGCCTCAGAAATTACCTAACCTTAAATCGGATCAGTCATTTGGTATCCTGGTCTGCTCACTCACAAAAGATGCATTGTTCCATGCTGAGGCATATTTTTCTGTGACTTTGTGCCACCCAGAGTCTTCTCTCCTGGCAGCTTCTGTTCCCACCTACTTCCAGCCACCCGAGGAAGGAAGAAAAGTGACTGGTATTGTCACGTGGCCCTACGTGTCCTATTAGTAAGGCAGGAAATTGTACCTCCCTTGCTGGCCCCGGATGGGCTGCTTTCCTTGCTACTATTATTTGTTGGAAGGATTTCCACTGAGAGACACGAAGACCAGGACTCAGTGGTGGGAATCTGTAGAGCTGGTAGGTCGGACAGCTTTGGTGGTTGAGGTCTCCATTAGCACTGGCCACGTGGGTCTCCAGAAAGAGAAAGTCAAAAGAGATCTGACAAATGGAAGTTTGCTGTCAGCTGCCTCCCAGATCCCTGCAAACTGCCCGTAAGCCTTGCACATATTCTGTGACAGCCCATGCCTTGGGATTTGGAGCTACTCTGAGCTGTTTAGTACTTTGAAACCAAATGACCCCTACAGTGGACACTGGCCCCATGTCTTTGCTGTCAAACATGAGAAGCCACTTAGTAAATGTTGATAACGATGAGAAGGATGTCGATAACGAGGAGAACAGGGGCCTCCATGGAGAACCCACTCTAAGGTCTCATCTTCTTAGCCACTATGGTTCTCTAGAGAAGCTGCCCAAAGTGGCTGAATTTTCAGCATCACCCTGTACTAAGGGCCGGTAAACAACGGTACCATTAGCTCCTGTCTCTTGGATGAGAGGTGTAACTTTTGCTGCAGTTTCTACACCTCTCCTCCCAGTCTACCATTAACTCTTTTACCCCTTCCCTTCTTGTTTAATGTTTTCTGCCACAGCCTTTGTTATCTTGCTTCTATTATTCAGTCAAACACTAGCTCCTTCAATCTATTTATTTTTAAATTTACAGTTCCATTAATTATCATAATTAAACTACCTTTAGCAGTTAAAAGAAGTAGAATTGCATCTTCCTTGGACATTTGGTTCTAAGGTCAGTATATGAGGCAAAAATTGAACACCCTCAAAATTCCTATTGCAAACCCTGGAAGGTCAAGGCAGGAAGACCCTGTCTGAGTTGGGCTTGGGCAACTGATTTAGAAAGATTCTTTCTCAACAAAAACATAAAAAAGGATTGGGAATGTGGTTCAGTCTGAAGGTCCTGGGTCTAGTCCTCAGTAACACACACACACACACACACACACACACACACACACACACACACACAATGTAGAGGGGAAGAGTGTGCAAGTGCAAGTGAGTCTTAGGGCCTTATGTCATCTGAAAGAGGGTGGCAGTTTGTGTGCTCTGTGTATAGAAAGCTGCACAATAATACTTGTGTATATGTATTTAATCATACACGAAGTATTGTGGAGTATTTGTAGAGTTTTAAACAAAATAAATTTCCTGCTTCCTCTTTTTCTTTTAAATTTTATTTCTCTTTTTTCCCCAGCAAGTAAGGAGATCTTTTGCAAGTGGAAAGAGGATCAAGAGATGGAGGGAGGAAGGAGTGAGTGGACAGAAAGATGAAAAGAAATGATGAAAAAGAAAACAAGAATTGAAAAGCTCTGGAGACAGAGCTTTTGCAAATGGGAAGGGGACCTTGAGGACGGAGCAGGGAGGAAGAGGAGCTTTACGGGATGCCAATGAATCACACTGTGCTGTGAACACGCACCACCTCCCCACGATAAATGTAACCCTTACGTCCTGCAAACATGTTTGAATAAAAATAAAATTTTGAAAAAAAAAAATAAAACAAAAAGAAGTTAAGTGGTGTGCACGGGCACTGTCCTCTCCCGCACTGTCTGTTCCTGACCTCACCATTCCCGGTAGGGACGAAGTGTGGGTTGTCTCTATCCTGTGTGGAGAAGGCTCCATCACAATCCTTTCTCTTTGGCTCTTTCCTGTAGATACTTCTCCAGCCCCTCAGGCAAACACACTCATCTGAGACCTAATCAGAAAAAGGAAAAATGAGGAGCTAGGAAAGAAGATGCTAAAACAGTCAGTTATCTACTGGGGACAACCTCTCTCAGGTGCTCTGGCAGAGACAGATTGTAAAGAGGAGGGCAGAGCCGAGGGGAGGGCGATCGGAAGCTGCCGTGTCCTGGAATCATTTTACCTGCAGTCCACGGCGTTGAGAGGTGGGTGTTAAACGGAGACAGCCTCTGGTTCTTGCTACACATGGCTGAGTTTCACATCGGAAATTGGCGTTCCCTCTGAAAACGTCAGCCTGCCTTTCGAAGACCAGTAATGACATCCCCAGGAATAAGAACGCTCTTGTGCCCATGGAGAGCAGAATGGCATATCTGTGTGTGCCTTTAAGCTCTGAATTTGGCATAACTGACTTTTTAAACAAAAATCGCCTAGCATGGTTTACCATATGTCTGATGAAACCCTGTAAAAATGAAGCACAGATCTTTGCCATTCGCTCTTGAGGAAATGCATCTGCGGTCACATCTCCAAGCTATTTATTTCCTTTTATTTTAGCTGTGCCCAATACCATCCATCCAGATGTACATCAGATGTACAAGTAAAAATGGAAAATAATTTCTCCATCATTTGAACATTAACATTTCATTTGTAACACGGAATGGATAAAATGTTTTAGAAAGTAAGAATATAGAAAATTCAGGAGAATACTGGCCAAATGCAGCTTTAAAACTTACAACCTGATCTGGGGTTTGGAGATGTCTTTTGTGCCCCAGACTCTTTTGTGCCCAGTGTCATCTGGTGAGCCCCAGTGCCACTCACTCACTATTTTCCTGACCTGATCTGAAGAGGAATAACTCTACCTAGGTCATCTTCCTTGACACAAGATGCTCAGAGGAGCAAGAGAAATAAATGCTAAATAGCAAAAGCAGTTCACGAGGAGTGTCTTCTGCACGGTAATATCACACGTCAGTGTGAGCCTGGCACCTGGCTTGTTAGTGACTTTCAAGAGCACTGCCGGTCAGTGGTTCTGAAGCTGCTACTCTGCGAGCTTAACCTGTGCCCCCACACAGGGTAGATGAAGCAAATCCAGGAAGCGCCTCCCTGCTCTGAGGTCAACAAGTGCCCCTTTGTCCTTTGGGAATGGGGTAGTGAGGATGCTGGGACATTTCTCTAGAGGCCCTTCTTAGTGACTGTGGATTGCTGCTGCCTGTCCTGGTCTTTTTAGCAGCTTTTTAACTTCCCATCTTCCTGTGTGGCCTGGCAGCATCTCTGGATTGGCTGGGCTTTCAGTGTCCCGGGAGGCCATGCAGCTCCATAACAAAGAAGAGGGCACCTTATGCTGCCAGTGTCACACAATAGACCGCCCAGTGTCCAGGGAGCAGTTGCCCTGAGGTTGGCTCTGTTGCTGCTCTGGCTTGCCAGCCTCCTTCATGGAGAAAGGAGTCTTGGATTCACACCATATGCACGGCCTGGCTCTGCCTGTCCACTCTGCTGGCTCCTACAACATATGTGGGCCTCTTCTGAGTTTATGGGGAGCTGCCGTTAGCTCCAGAGCGTGTCTAACCAGCTAACTAACTCCCCTTCTGCTGCTGCAGGCCGCTTGCAATTCTGGCTGAGCAAGGAGACCTTAAAACTTCCATGAGTCCATACTCTCATTTCAGAGCTAAGTCGTGAGCGAGGCTGGGAGCTTGATCACAGGCGGCCTGTAAAGCTGGCTTATCCCCTACTTCTATGGGTGGCCGAGGGTGGTAATGACCCATGACCTTCTTTCTCCTTGAAAGAGCCATGAAACATACCAGGTAGGCTGTGCCTGTCCCTGGCTGTGCCTCTTTCACTATTACCACCCTATACACACACACACACACACACACACACACACACACACACACACACACGTGCGCGCGCGCATGCATGCACATGTGCACACACATGCACACACACACGCACACGCATACGCACACTCTTCTGGGAATGTGAGGGCCTGTGACCAACCAGTCTTCTTGGGCTGGCATACCAAAGTCCCAAACTGGGTGGCTTCAACAACAGACGTTTATTTCTTCCAGTTGTGAAGGCTGGAATCCAAATCTAGGCGTGGCTGCTCCCGAGGCTCTCTCCACCGTGTGGAGATGGCGCCCTGCTCGCTGTGTCCTCACATGGCCTTTCCTGTAGGCACGTATATCTCACATCTCTAATCTTAACTCTTCGTCTCATGCAGCAGCATCAGATGGGCTTAGGGCCCACCCTAACAGCCTCCTTTAACTCAGCTACTTAAAAGGCCCTATCTCCATATAGTCATATTTAGAGGAATTAGGGCTGGGGCTTCAACATTTGAATTAGGAGGAGACACAGTGCAGCTGCGGACAACCTGCTTACGCACCTCAGCTTTCTGAAACTCCCCTCACCTGTCCCAGAGAGTCAGGGCTTCCAACTCTGCAGGAAACCACTGGCCACCCTGGGAAGCAAGAAGGAGCCTGCTCCCCGTCTGCGTCTCCAGTGGCTATGGACAGTAGTAGCCCATCTCACATCACAGGCTGTCCCCTTGAACTGTTTTTATCTCAGTCCCCCTTGAAGGGAGCTGAAGTCAGAAAACAGGACTTGTCCCGCTGGTCTCCAGCAATGCACAGATTCTCTCAGGTCCACCCACTGCCCCACCTGTTCTGTCAGTGGCGCCTCTCAGGCCGCTGTTCCTGTTACTTAACCATGGTGATTGCTGTCATTTACTGAATGCCTGGCATGCACCGGACTGACTCAGTGCTAAGATCTTAATGTAAATATTTAATGGTTCCCACAATCTATTGAGATCCCTTGTTACTCTCATGTTACAGGTGGGAGAGAAAAGATTCCAGAAGGCTAAAGGATCTATGTGACTTTAGGACTTCTTCCTCTTCTTCTTCTTCTTCTTCTTCTTCTTCTTCTTCTTCTTCTTCTTCTCCTTCTTCTTCTTCTTCTTCTTCTTCTTCTTCTTCTTCTTCTTCTTCTTCTTCTTCTTCTTCTTCTTCTTCAGAAACCCTCAGGCCCCAGGGAGGATAAGAAAAGCCTCAGTAATCCTGCTAGCCTTGCACACCCATGTAACTGTGTCCTGGGTCTCCCCATCCCTCCTATCCTCTTTGCCTGGCCACTTGTTTCCTAGCCATGCCAGCCTCACACAGAGCCTGTGAATCTGGAGTTGGCTTTGTTGGGTTTGAAGCCCAGTCTCACTGCTCACTGCCTGGAAGCATTTGAGTAATAACTAACTGAACTTATCTCGGTTTCCTCATCTATAAAATGCAGATAATAATAATAACTCCCTTGAAGAGGAATAACTGAGCTAATATTTACTGAGCATTTGGAACAGTCTCTGGCAAATAGTAAAACCCTGCACAAGAATTTATTATATAAACCCACTGTAGAGGAAGATTCTAGGGCCATTGTGGGGAAAATCTACTGGCCCAAGGTTCCCAGAGCCACCAGGGGCTGTCCCCTGGAGTGTCTTTGGTGCTCTGAGCAATGGGTTCGGTTCTTGGGGTTCATTTCTGGCTAGGCATTTGGAATAAAATCAGGAAGGTGACATTGGGGCCAAAAGACTGACAGCATGCAGGGCTGACTGCATCTCCCAGCCCAACTCATGACCACCGGGGAGGAGAAGACTTGGAAACAGCGAAAAGTCAAGTGTGACGCGGTTTGGAAAAAAGTCTCTTGATTTCTCCCTTTACCTTCATATTTTACTTATGTTTCACTTCATTCAATTTTTTTTTTTTTAAGGCAGAGTATCACTATGTAGTTCCAACTGGAGTCAAACTCACTATGTACTATGTAGCCCAGACTGGCCTTGCCAATCCTACTGCCTCAACCTTCTAAGTGCTGGATTACAGATGTGCATCACCATACAGGACTCCTTTCCTGTTTTGATGTTTTTGGTATTTCTCTCTCGTAGTGATTTCCTTTCTCTTCTCTCTTTCATGGCTCCTTCCATCCCTTTCCCCACTTTGGCTTCAACTTATTCTTGGTTTCCAAATGGAAGGGGCCAAGGATATGGTTGGGAAGGTTACTGGTGCCCCCAGCACATCCTGAAGTGAAGCACTGATCATGGAAAATTGACCATGATCCTAGCCATCTTAGAGTGCATGTGACTGTAGGGACAGGGGTAGTGCCACAGTGATGCCTGCTTACATGTTTGTAGACAGTGGTAGTTAAAATGAAAAAGCTGATTCCTCACGTGCAGTGAAAAATGTAAGTGCCATGTAGCTCCTAGGTTCTCCCCATTAATTGCCAGCAAACTGTCTAAAAAGCTGGATTATCAGAGAATTGGAACAAGGGGAGCCAGCTATGTGATTCTCATAATAAACTAGGGGTCCCTGAGGCATCTTGACCACAGAGCTCTGCCTTTGTCAGACAAACTGGACATTTAAACTTAGACACTGTGGCAAATTGCACTGCCCAACAATGGTAGCAAGAACTTCTGTTCACACGATCTTCTGCATGTATCTTTGCCACTCTTCCCTCTAGAGGTGCAGTGACTACCCAGCTCAGGACCACTTGAGCCAATAGATCTGGTGGAAATGATGCTGTAAGACTTCTAAGGTTTGGTCATGAAAGGTGATGCAACTTCGCCTTGTTTACTGGACCCCTTGTACATGGATCACAGAGCTGCACTGGGAGCGAGTTGTCTACTCTCTGTCCCATTCTTTGAGGAAGCTAGGCCACACACCAACAGGTCATATATCGGCACTCTGATGAGCAGTCCTAGTTTGGAACCACCCTAGCCCAGGGAAGGTATATGAGTGAGGAAGGTTCTGATGATTCCGGTGCCCAGCTGTTGAGTGTGTCC